TGCGAGAAGCCTTCTATCCCTCTTTTCATGTATTTTCTGTATTTTTTATGCAATACGTGTTAAATATATAGATGAAGATGAAATGACGTCAATTTTCTTTACATGAGACAAAAGAAGACGGCTGGAGAATATCTTTTTTACGATATAAAACGGAAACATTACGAGACGTTTGAATCTGTTTCGCCCACCTCTGATATCTACTCGCTCATCATACACTTTATCTCTTCTTATTATAAAACAAAGTAGAGAAATTCGATATGTGTATCGAAAAGCTCATTATTCTAAAAAATATTTCCGCTACAAAGAATGACAGCAGAAAAATGAGGTTTTTTTGTATTTTTAAAAATATACTGATATTACTTTATCTAGTGGAAGTGTGTTCGCCACAAGCATACAGCTCGATTACTCATTGAGCTTGAATTAGCTACCATGAACTGAGTTCGACGTCACAAGTTGAGTTTTTTAAAACTAAACGTCAATCAATAACGAAAGGTCATCTTTGTCCTAAAATTATATGGTACACTACAACAATATTCGTGTTTTTATCCTATCTACCCCGCTAGCAAACAAACGAATACTTTTCAGCTAAAGACAACAAATATCATTAAAACTGAACTTTTGGAACATAATTCTTAAAAAAAGTAAAATAGAGAAGAAAAAAAATGATCTGCTGTAAATTACTTAACCATGTTCGACTGTGATATAATAGGTTCAGTTCAGTACACCATGAATTATTTATTCCTTCTTAATATAGAAAACTGCTGTAAAAACGATATATTCTCTGTTAACATATATTTACTGTTTCACTTATGAGAACTTTTATCTAATAATGGACATCTAGTTCATATTGGACAAAAAATATTCGTTTACCTTCTCGTTTTCATCGAGTGTGCTAACATTTTTCGTAATTTTGTCGTCATTGCTAGTTTTGTTTTAACGAACAATATCGAAAACAGACTTATAATTAGATGAAGCAAATACTCTGTTAATTAATTCCATCATGAGAAGATAAACATGTTTCATCTGTTTTTATACCAACCATTTCACTTCCGGTGTTTTCATTAAATATAACCGTTTCGGAAAAATAGGTCGTTTCATTTTTTCTGATAATAATAATAATAATAATAATAATAATAATGATCAAGAAAGAGAGAGCAAAACTTCAAATAACGTAGGAAAAAAAAGATGAGTTTCTCTATACTATATTACTATAATGGACGATCAACGAAAAAGAAAAAGAAAAAGAAAAGAAATAAATTGTAATATTAACTTTAGTCACCATCATCACACTCATTTCTTCTACAGGCTGTTGTTTTTCTCATCTGACATTCATCCGTGCTCCATTGTGTTGAACAACAAAGATTAGGAAAATCATCATCAATGATGATTGACCTCATCAACATTTTCTTTCTTTCTCGTATTCAAAGATGTAAACAACAAACAAAAATAGTTCTGTGAAGATTACTATTATTATTTGAAGTCACTGTGTGAGCGAGGTGGAATAATCTAATCCTAACTTCACTTCATCTATTCTTATTTCTTACTCACTCTAGTGTTCTTTTCTTTCGTTTTTCTTTGTAGAAGATATAAAGAGAAAAAAATTTCTCTTTTCCTCACATCATGTAGTAAATATTATTCTAATACACGTACACACGCTCCATTTCACAATGGTAAAGAAAACTTATTCAATTGAAATAAAAATTTATAATGAATTATTAATATCAGGCATGCAACACGTAAAATTATTCAACATTATTTGGATAGTTGCTTTACTTTAGACACTATTTAGTCTCACACAGTTCAATCTATCAAATACTTTATGTATATTTTTGACACTAATTTCTATTATTCACAGCATTAGTCTTTTTACAGGAATAAAGAAAATTATTTTAAAGTAGCCAAAGAAAAGTAGCTTACAAGAGTTAAAACATTTTTGATTTCATTTCTAATAAAGACGATTAAGTGAAATTTAGATGCTATTTTAACAATTGTACAATAATAAAAATGTTTATTCATTTATTTATTTATTTCATCGTCCAAAATTTTCGCTTATATATGTGGTTAGCAAGATTTTTCGAAAGGAGAATCTAAAATAGAGAAAATCTGAAAATATATTCAAGTAAATTGAGCGTTATAAATATATTAATGATACTTTTCGTTTCATTAACAATCTAGTAGAATTAGGAATTGGATTTTTTGTAAAAAATATATATCTAATATTTCTGCAAGATATTCTCTTATTTTCTGTAAAAGTGCAGTGATCTAGCGCAACATATCATGTTCAAAAAGTAAATCATCTGTTTCAATTATATATCGAGTTGAAAAAAAAAAGAAAAATTACTAAACAATTATCTAAATTTTAACACGATATTTATATATTAGTCTCATTAGTTCCAAGAGTGCAAATTCTCATTTTGAATAAAATTTATTAAGTAATTATTGACAAAGACCATATGTTCATACAACATGAATAATATTTTATTCTTAGTAACAGCGCTAAGTAATGTAAACAACTCATTTATTATCGATTTTCTAAAACCAGATGCTTTTAGCGTTGAATTAGTTGACTTTGCAAATTGAGAGCGTAGTACAATTGCTCTCTCGTTTATTTTATGATGTATAACGTCCATTGGTTATAGTTGCCTACTTTCTGTGATGTGTTTGAAAAGGAGTGAAGTGAAGAAGAAGAAATACAAAAAAAAAATATTCTACAAACACAACACAGAGAAAATGAACTATCTTCAATAGGACCGTTTTCAACAAAAAAGTCGAATCATTCAACAGTACTACATGGTAAGGAACGCAACTTATTAAGATATAGAAGAAAACAGAAAGTCACTAGCTAATGGATTATATAGCATATTACTAGAATGTCAAAATCAAATAGAATTATTTAAGTTCAAGAGTTTATTGCTTTATAGAGAGATCATAGAGCAAAACACATATAAAATTGAAAGAATTAAATAACAGCATAACTTTTCTTCTGACTATATACGCTCTCTAATGTGGAATCAAAAATATCGTTCAGTACGGTTTCTCACTCACGATCTAGATTAGGTCTAGACTGTGTAGAAAACTTCAGAATTCTTGAGCGTAATCTCCACTAGCTATCAATGTTTCAAAATGTCCATGATTTCTACGTTGGGTATAAAAGTGTTCATATTTTTTTAAAAACTGATATTAGGTTAAGATTGCATTCAAGAATTGAACTAAAGTTTTCTACACAGTCTAGACCACTTGACGTCTTGATGTGGACAAAGTTTAGAATCAAAACTTCATAAGACGGTTTTACTGGAAATCTTGAGTGCTGTGGGACGAATTATTTCAAAATTCGATATCTCAGGAATAAAGGCTCGAGGGAATGAATCCTTTTCAGCTCTTTCGTACCTCATGGAGGTCTACTTATGGCCAAAAGATGGAGTCTAAACTGGTTGAACACTTGGGGACCTTCCCTCGTCAGTTTTCTAATATAGAAAGATAATTCTGTCCACACAGTTCGTTTTTAATTTAAATATATAGGTAAGACTATAGTTTATCTACTGTATATAGTCAAGAATGTATTTCTTTTGTTCAAACTCATTTCTTTACATACATTGTAGCAACAAAAATTTAACTCTGAAATTGTCAATTATTTAAAAACAAACTTGATAATTTTGGTTTTGATTGTTAGAAAAAAATAATCTTTATTTTTTCAATATTCATAAATTTTAATCTGATAAGATAAAATTTATAGAGATTTACTCATTAGTTGACGAACAGCTCAATCTGAAAACTGAATCAGTTATACAGTTTTCGTACCGCTGAATTGAACTTCTTTAAAATATATCTTTTGATTCAGAGATGAAAGTTCTGATCAGCTCATTCAGCTCTGAATCTAGTGACGGAGTCAGGGCTTAATTTTCGAAAATTTCAAGCTGATTCCAGTCAGATTTTTCACCTCTGAATCGATTATTAGGAGAAAACGCTTCATATAAATAATAAAGATATCTAAACTGTGAGAAAAATTGAAAATAGTACAAAAATTAGATAAATTTAGCTATTATAAATCTATCTAAGGACAGTATTATCTTGAGTTGAAAGATATTACTATTACTATCAAAATGCACGCCGTAAGTTCTCAGCATCATGTGGTCTCTTGAGTTAGTCCTGAAAGCAATGATAAGAATATTCAGTTCTGAATCAATAAGAACCAAAAGAGAAGAACAAATCTTTTTTTGGAAAGTAATTTTTCGATTTTTTCGGAACTGATTCCGACTTTGACTCAGCTCTAATAAAATTTTATAGTGTTTTGATTCAGCTTTTCAGATCGAACTGATTGTCGATTAGTGTTCCTACGTTACTGCGAAATAAAAATCTTTAGTACATTTGAAGCATTCTTATTACAGGACGGAAATTAACGTTGATTTTCTCTCCTAATAATTATTTTTTGTTTTACTATTAGAAACGTTCTCCCACTTGACCATGGTTTGTATGCGTTAACATATTTGTAGTATTATATTACAAATGTTATTGAAAATCTATTCGGTGAAATAACGTCCCTAAAAATTTAAGAATCATTGTGGCTATCATGTTAAGAATTTTAATAAAAGTTTGAAAAAAAATAATAAAAAATTAAAAAGATTAAAACTAAGAGTTAAAATTACAATTCAATATTTCGATGTATTAATACGGTCATTTTCAAGTTTCTCTTTATACAGAATATTACATAAAAATGAAAACAAATATAACTGACTATATATATCTAATGTCTTTTTCTTTTTCAATCTAGGCACATACTATCATAGAAGACTATATGAAGAAATTTGGTTTTTTTATTATTTTTATTAAAACTTTTATTAAAAATTCTTAACATGATAGCCGCAATGATTCTTAAATTTTTATTTTTAATCTTGCACATAAACTCAAAAAACGTTATTAACGTCTCTGACTATGTCAGATAAATTGAAAATCTTTCTTATACAAAAATATCAAAATATTTCAAATAAAATAAATAAATAAAATCAAACTTGCCTTTGATGTTTTCGTTTTTGACCAAGTGTTGTTTTTAATCGTCCTTTAATGGCACAAGCGCCTGGCGTGAGATGTTGAATTATGACTTTTTTACGAGTACTGTTCAATGTACCATTCACTGTTAGTAGTGGCGATGTGTGTGGGGAAGACGAAGACTTTGATGTTGACCCTGTTGGTAGAGAGGTAGCTGGTGGTACCGGTACCATTGTCGGATGTAAAAAATTGATATTGTTCATTGACGTCAAAAGCATATCGGGCAACGTCGTAGTCGATGTAGATGTGGAAACACGAGATGCACGACAATATTTCGCTAGAGACGGAGAACAGTTACCTAATGGCAAACGATTTAGAACATCCGATGGTGGACGAGGTACATCACGGGGCGTACACAATTCTTTTATTGTTGAGCGAGGTGAAAGTAATAGGTGATTGCGAATAATGTCATCTTCATCAGCCATCAATGATGCTTGAGCAATTGAAAATGTCTGACGAGACATTTGAGGTGTAGAAATATGAGTTGCACTTGGAGGTGACATACTAGAGCCAGAATTCGTAGATGGTGTACGTTGTCCACGATGATACATCTAGAATAATAACTAAACGTCTATTGGGATATCATATAATATCTCTTTTTTATATAAAAATAATAATATCATCTTCTTAAGTCCAATTCTCAATGATCTATTATAATCGATATTTCTAATCATGGCAGAACAAAAACATACGGATAATTTTTTAAAGAAAACATCGTCAAACGAATCTACATTTAATTTTTCCATGCCATCAGAAAAGTACCTATTTCATAGATATTATTACTGTCTTAGTCTAAGATAAATGAATAAAGTCTGGATCAGAACAGAATTTATGTTGTTTTTCTTAGATATCATTATTAATTAATTCATTATTATTTTGTAAACACGTTATCTCTCCTAGTCTTGAATAACAACTCACCTAGTATATGGGCATGTGCTTGCTGTCATCACCTGAGTATATTTTGCTCAAAATCTCGTTATGTATTATTGATAGAAGAGGATAAAGGATAAGATTTGCTGAAATGAAACATCAATTTTTATTGATAAGTGATAGAGTGGAACGAAATTATAGTTGTCAAAGTTGTTCAACGTATTAAAATTACTATCCATGAATATTGAAAAATCTTAATTTCTACATTTTTTTCAAATAAAAAAAAAATGACAAAACTATGCGAGTTACTGGAAAAAAAAAACAAGCAAATCTCTCTCTCTTACCGCCACTAACGAAATAAATTTATCAGCAATCAACGCTAATTACAACACTCAACATTCTTTTCATGAATCTGAAATAGAAATATGTAATTGGCTCGTAACAGACAAGAAATAGTAATCATCGACTTCTTTCTACTATTCAGAGTAAAATATTTCCTAAAGCAGATAAATACAATATGGAGAAAGAGGACTGCGAGTGCAAGACGCTATAATACTGTGATACTGTGTTAATCAAAAAATATGATGACTCACTCATGCTATGATATGTTTCAAAGCTATGACGTATAATTATGTAAAACTAATCGTTTAAGAAGAAATATGATAACATTTTGTCTTGACAGGCTCAGTAGAATCGAAAATAATTAATCCATCAAAAATAGACTACAAACAGAAATAATTTTGGCTATTCAAAGTCTAAAGTGTAAATAAGATTTTAAAACAACTCGAAATTTAAACAATCTATATTATAATATCATTAATTTTTACGAAAATGACCGCTCAGTTGAGCAGGACTGGCGCGAGACTTCTAAAATTGGGAAGGAAGGGGGACGATCAATTTTTTTGTTGTGATTAGTGTAAAACTTTTTGGTTATATACTACATTATAGTAGAAGAAAATACTGATGACATTTACTTGACATCAGAAAAATAAACAACTTTAAAAACCATCAAAAAAGCAAAACAAGTAGTTTTGGAAGAACATGAAGAAAAAAGCAAAACTATTCAATTAAGTTTTACTCTTCTTGCTTCCATTGTTGCCCAATCGTCAGCAACACTTTTTAAATCGATGTTCGCCAGAATATACTTTTCGATTGACCAGAGCATTAGGCTGATGAGTTTTTCATTACTGAAAAAAGAAAAGATTTCGATTATTGAAGAGGAGGGGTTAAACGTCCCACTAGAACCAGCCCTATTAGTGAAAGTGTCAGAATTTCTGTAAGGAGGCGGAGTTTTGAATATGTGTTCAATAAAATCTTCTCAAGGAAGAATATACCGATACGACCGTTCTTTTCTGTAAAATTTTTTTAAAAATAATCATTTATCGAGATGTATGCCACTTCAATAACTAGTCTACGCTACGATTTTTCTATTTTATCAATATTTTATTTCACTTTTTCTATGCTTTCTTCTGTTAAAAAAGGTTTACTAACACTTTCTGTATCATCTGTTCCAGTCTAAAGAAGCAAAATATAACTGTTATTGCACATTTTTGAAATCAATACTTATGCTATGATAAAAAACTTTTAGTTGAGGAAGACTGAGTCCACTTAAACCTCACTTTCATTGGCGTCTCCACGAACAAATAGCTTAGTTTTTGGTATAAAAATTTGAGAATTTATCAATAATAAAATATTGTACGATCAGACAACTGAAAAAATAAATGGAATACATAAAACGATGAGATTTGCAATAAAAAACTTTAAATTGTTGTGTTTGATTAAATACAATTTGTGAAAAACATGTAGCTCTTACAAGACTAATAATGATGTCTTCGATATCTGATCATTGATCCCATTGAGTTTCCAACAACGATGTATTTTATATCTGTGAAATAGTATGAATAAATGAATATTATAAAATTCTACTTTTTTTTTTAACAGAAATAATAATGAAGTAAGGTGATAAAATATAAAAAGAGAAATAAATAAAATATTTTCTGGTACCTATCATCAAAAATTCGTCCGTCATTCTGAATATTAATAAAATGGCGTACGGATAAATTTCTTACAATCTATTTCATAAAAGAAGAAGTAAATGTTTCTATTCACTTTGTGCTCTGTATGTTTTGTTTTTCTAGGTTAATGGTACAGGAACAATATATCTTGTTCTCAAGTGGAAAAACTTGAATATATTATTATTATTATTTTTTTTTTTTGTTGTTGTTTTTTAACGAAATAAGTATGAACAAAAAGAAGATATTTTTCATATTAATATAAGATAGTTTTATTCATTTCTAAAATTGAAAATTGAAATTAACTTGTTAAAAAAAAGAGAAAGAAATTATTTAATAATGATACTTTGAAATTTACATAGGAAAAAGTCATTCGTCAATATTACAGTAAAAGAAAACATGTCTTTTTTATTCTTCTTTTTTCGTATTCATCTGTAATATTATTAATGGTAAGATGACACGCTTAATAATTGTGCTTACCGTTCGTTATTCACTACTTAAAACTATATATTTATATAAGTTGATTACATTGAAAGCGTATCATTTAAGAAAAAGAAACACATATTTCTTTTGTTCTGTGAACACCAGAACAAGAAGAAGAAGAAGAAGAAGAAGAAGAAATTTATTTTTAAAAATATTCTTACAATTTAATTTCCTATTTATTTTTTTTCTCTTCTTTTTTCATTCATACCTGCATTTCTACTTTCGCATGTCATCTATACATCTTTAAATATTAAATATTGAATATTAGTGAAGAGAAGAATAAAGAAAAGAAATCAAATAGTAGTAAGTAATAAAGTAATAAAGAAAACAAATTAAATCTACAAATTTGTTTCTTCGTTTCGTTTTTCTATAATGGTGAGTATATTTTATAATCCAAAAAATATTTATATTGAACAGGTAAGAGAAAAATGACGACGAAAGAAAATGGTCTTCTTGTTAATAATTTTATTAGAAGAATCTTTATTAGGAAGAACAGAACAGAAAAACAATATCTGGGTAATTATTCCTAAAGAAACATAAAAATGAAAAATAAGCAAAATCTGGTCATTGCTGATGACATCCTTCTCGGTTCCATTGCGTGAATACTATAGACTTCCGTTCGAATAATAGTAAAACGTACGTTGGCGATTTAATAGAGAGGGAACACAAACGACAAGATTTTATTTTTTTCGTCATCCCGTTGTCATTGTATTCGACATAATTCTTTTTTATTTTTTCTCTTCTTCTTCTTCTTCTTCTTCTTCTTCTTCTTCCAAATCTTCTCTTCTTTTCTTCAGTCTATTTATTTGTACTTTTTTCTCTTTTCTTTTATTCAACCGAAAAATTCTCAAAGATTTGTCCTTTGATCGTGTGCATGTATATAAATGTAGAAAAAAATTTCTTCTTGGTTGTTTTTGAAGAAAAATGATGTGAAGATAGATGATAGTACCAATGTCAAATATAATCATTGAGAAGAGAGAGGACAGGACATCATTTGTTTGAAAGAGAAGAGGCAGAGAGAAGAGAAAACAGAAGAAAGATATGAAATAGAGTAGAAAAACATGAAGGACACTCTTCTCCTTTGTTTTAATTTGCTGATAGATATTCTATTAACCTTAATGAAAATCAAAGATGACAGTTCTTTTAGATAAAGAGCACCAATTTATATATACATTAACAGAAATAACCTTGATGAACATCATTATATTTTACAAGTAAAAAAAAATAAAATAAACTGATCATTCACTTTTTTTTCCAGATATTTCACAGACTAATCTTTATTTTATATGTAAGTGTTTTCTCATAAAAACATGAACATTTTTCATGTTTTATCATGAAATACTAGAAATGTTTACCTTTCTTCATATTACAAATGACCATAAAAAAACAAAAAACAAAACAAAAAAAAAAAAAAGAAAAAGAAAAATATTAGTTATTATTAAGGTTCTGTATGTGTAGACTAAAATAAAGAAATTGAATCTTAGTTGAAATAAAACTCCTTCTTGTGGAAATATGTCAACTTGATTAAAGCGGATCGGTGTCAAAAAAATCTATGTTTCTTTTTTTTTATTAGATGGATCAGATCGACTTTATTTTTCGAACCGAAAATTCTTCTAATTATAGTAGCATCCTGGAAAAAAACGAAAAACATGAAATTATTATACGGAATATTAAGAGCAATTTGTAAAAAATGACGGAAGAAGAAAAGTGAAAAAAAAAATAAATTATTCTCATAATTGATTAAAATCGAATCGATAATTATTTCTTGTTACTGATATAGCAAATTTTATGGAGAATAATATAGAAAAAAAAAAAAAAAAGAAAAGATATAAAATACTAACTGACTTTGGTTGTTAGACAACGAACTTTTCCTTTTTAATTTTTGTGCAACATAATTATGAGAAAGAGTTAAATAAGCTCGTGACCGTTTTTTTTTTTCTCTGTTATACTATAATTGGCTTTTCTAGTCGATAATTTCCAAATCAAAGAAGGAAATATTTAAAAAATCAAAAAACCAACAACATTTTATTATAGATTTATTTAGCATACAATTTAATAAAACCATTATTTTACTTTTATTTTTAGCTTCTAAAATTGGCTGATATTCTGAGTCTATCACCTTCTCATTAGCCAGTAGCTAAAGTAAAAATAGTAAAATCTATTGTTTCTTTTTTAGATAAACTTTT